AGAAACTTCTCTGAAATGTCACGTAAATTTCGTTTGGACCAAAGTTCGTCGAAAAGTCTGGAATTTTGTCAAATTTCGTCGACGGGCGTTTGCCTTGTGCATACCTTTTCCACAATACCGTATACTGAAAATGTTTACCACTTTTACTTGTTACGTAGCGCTGGTTAATATCGAGGATCAAGGCAAACGGTCACTTGGATTTTCACGACACAAACTACGGTCACGTTATCGAAAAGACTTGCGCGACTGCGACAAAGAACCTGCGCGCACTGAGTCTTTTCCATTATTCTGTTTGATAAGAATAGCATCAAAAATTACAGAAGTAAGAAATCTCAAAAATACCAAAGAAAAGGGAAAAAAACGTATCCTGTTAGCTTGAAGGTCACGTTCTGCACAGGACCGCGCAGCAAACAATTACGTTAATTCTTAATAATGATTGTGTCCAAGTTCGCAATAAACCTTTACGAGGTCACATTTCAGTCACTTTTCTTTCGGAGAGCCTCGCAGTTATTTGTGCAGCGATGATTTCCTAAAAAATTGAGATGAGAGTGATTTGGATCATGATTTTTGCTTTTGCAATTGCCGCATTTGGCAAAGATAAGTTGCATTTCTACTTTATTTGCGTAATTTTCGAAATTTGAAGCGATTTCTATTTCAGTGCGCAAAGAGGGAAAAATATGGTGCATGTCATTTTTGTTGTTTATGTCAGTTTGAATTCTGCGCCGAGAGCCCTAGGTTTATTTTGTAACTAAATAGACAATAGGAGCTATTCCTAGCGTACCCATCTCATGCAAAGAAAAGTCAAAGAAATCTGAAATATTCAGACAGCAACAACGAAAAAGCTAATCCATGAAAATTAGCCGTGGGTGAAGGTCAAAGTATGTCGATTCGCCCTTTTTCTCCCTCACTCTCTTTTTAAAAAGAAAAAAATTGGAAATCTTACCACTGATGACCTACTCATGCAATAAATAAATAAAGAATCGAAATAGTTAGCTTTTGACCCCACTTAGGTACCAGTTATTCTTTTCACTGCCAGAGACGCTGAGAAATATATAAAACGGATCAAGATTTTTAGAAATCGTCTCCAGATTGGAGAGATATATTTAACCAATAACAACCAACGTGTTGAAAATAAGAGGTCAGTCAAAACACCAAAGAGATAAAAGTGAACGTTCTTTGAAATCTAACCTACGCCCCAGGGGCGTAGCGGCACAAAAGTGATCTTTTGCAACGACAATCCTGGCGTACGTTTGTTTTATCTGTAGGAAATTCTCTACCATCAACAAGTCTTAAAGGGACAGGTAGCTTTCCCGTTTTTTCATTGAAGCCTCTTCAAAACAGGCTCCATGATAGCAAAGGTGATTATACTAAAACTGGCCAAGATACCAGTGCAGAAACATCAACCCGTGATGGGATTACCGAGAGCGGAGGACCAACCCTTACAGCTAAATTGAAGAAATCGTTACTGAGGTAATGAAGTTAAAGGGGGTTGTAATACCTTTGATGAACAATTTTGTCAGAATGCAGAGGCTGACTATATGCATCGATCTCAATGTTCATACTCACTTCATGCCGTTGAAACACAGATAGCTCCAATAGTGGTAGTGCACTTCTGGTTTCTATAACGTAATTTGGTGATATGTCAAACTCATGAGCAACCCTAGGATTAGTTTTCTTTGAGGAGTTTTAAACTTGCTCCAGAATGATTGGAGATACATATACAGTCACATAGGTGAACAAGGACTACTATAGGGCACTCAGATAAGTTGGTGATCACAAATGATGATTGTATTTTAGATATGACTACTGGACATTTGTTTCATATGAAAACATTCATTACTAACCGCAAGACCTGCTAAATGTGTAGGTGAGCCAAATGCATTTGGAAGACAGAATAGTGAAAAGATTCATGCACCACATGTCAATAATCCTAGAGCCTCCCTGCAGAGTGACAGTCAGTTGACTGGTACAAACATTCCTGTAAACAAGCAAGGATTTGGATCTATTGAGAAGGCTCTGCCTACATTGTCAAGCTTACTTAAGAAGCATTGGCCAAAACAAAACTTGAAACGAGAACGACCATCTTTAGACAAGGAAGTTGATTCAGAGGAGGTCATGGATTCTGAGAGTGGTTCTGGGAAAACTTGTTCCAAAACGTCAAGCAATGTCAAGACACTTCCTCAACTGGGATCAGGTGAATCTGAGGCATGATATTTAGCATTTGACTCCAGGAGGAACGTGATTAATGGCAATATGTGTGAGAGATCATGTTGTTCTAAGACAATTAGCTCCTTCCTCTTGTGGATGCCTTTTTTTCACCAATGCATCCAAGTGAATTATGGGAAACTGTTCAGAATCCCAATGAGTTATACATGTGTGTGTGTGTGGAGGGCAGGGGGTTAGGGTTAGGGCTGGGGCGGGGCAGGTGGGAAATGAGTGGGGGGAAACTTGCAAATTAAAATACTTTAAGGCTAGTATTTTATGCAAGAATGGTACGTAACATGTTCGTGCAAATATTCTTACTCAGCTCCAAAACCAAAACAAGAAATTTTGGATGGGGAGTTAGATCCAAATGATGTGGACTTGGAATCAGAAAGTGGTGTTGGAGAGGCATCTCAAGGGGAGTCAAGGCATTTTGAGGAACCTCTTCAAGACACTAAATCGGAATCAGGAGAACCAGGTGTGATATCAACCTCTTTCCTACGGTATAATAAGCGGAATAGGTTACTAAAAAATGTCTGTACTTT